GGGAGAGATACTATGGGAAAGAGTTTGTTTATTTTGTTTTTTAAGATTTATTTTAGTTATTTATATAAATAAAATGTAGAATATTTATACATTTCAGTTTATTTTCATACCCTTATTAACTTTATTTGATGATACAACATTGGTCAGACGCTATCTATCTATCTATCTATCTATCTATCTATCTATCTATCTATCTATCTATCTATCTATCTATCTATCTATCTATCTATCTATCTATCTATCTATAAGGGTTAGATTACACAGCTAGCATCCATTGATGCTACATGCTAACAGGAAGTAAGAGACTTTAGAGCTTTAGGACCAGAGATCTTTGCAGAATAGCTGGATCTTTAAAGGTTTCTTTAGGAAGGAAAGAGAGTCTGAAGCTCTGATGGTGCTTTTGGGGTCATTCCCCCTGTGTGGAAGCTCGTTTTGCCATTTGAGAGGAATCCCAAACGCGATCGAGCTGCTCTGGCAGCACACAGAGGGCCGATGCTTCTCAGGTCGGCCACGCGGGAAACAGCTCAGTTTGCAAAAGTCACACAGCTCCTGACCTCCAGCCAAATAAGAACAGCCACAGGGACAGAAAACAGATCCACTCTGAGCATCAGTCTTTATTTTTATCAGCAAACACAAACAGAAACGGAAACAAATCACATTCAGTCCCACATTCAGAGTGACGCTCTCTGGTTGGAATGAAAAAAAGAGTAAAAATGGAAATGACATTCAATCAGAATAAATTAAATTCTATATATTTAAATTAAATCAAGTTCAATTGGATCAGAATAAATTTAATTAAATATGATTTAATGTAATTAAATCAAATATGATATAATTAACTCAAATGATATATTATATTATATTATATTATATTATATTATATTATATTATATTATATTATATTATATTATATTATATTATATTATATTATATTATATTATATTAAAACAGCATAAAAATGGAATGTAAAAATGGTATAAAAGACATGGGTTAAATATTTAAAAATGAATTCGTAGTAAATATGAACAAGTCTTCAATAAACCATTTGGTAGAATTTTTTCTCAAATGAATAAAACTAGATTTACCATCAGAAGGAAATTGATTTAAGTTAAAAATGTACATAAGATCAATGTTTTTTTTAAAAGAGAGACGACCAAAAACAAGTTGAAACCTTCTGACTGAAACCATTCAGATCTCTAAAAAACAGTTCAAACTGATCTGGATCCTCTCACACGAACCCAAAGTTGAGCTTTAAACCTTCCACATCTGGACCAAACCTCAAACTCCACAAACCAAATAAGCCTCTGATGTTTAAGATGTGTCCCTAAAACCGAAACCTCCATGTTTTTTTCCTCCCTGGAAGCTCCGACTTCCCGGACCTGCGGAGGCACAACAACTGCATGGCGGCGGCCCTGACTCCGGCCATTTACGCCAAGCTGAGGGACAAACTGACCCCCAACAGTTGGACCCTGGACCAGTGCATCCAGACCGGCGTGGACAACCCGGGGCACCCCTTTATTAAGACCGTGGGATGTGTGGCCGGGGACGAGGAGAGCTACGAGGTCTGTCCAGCTAGAATCCACTAAATCATTTAGATCAGTGTTTTTCAACCTTTTTTGAGCCAAGGTACAGTTTTTCATTGAAAAAATCTCGAGGCACACCAACCAAAAATGTTAAACAAATCTGTATCCGCCTATAGTAACACTATAGTTATTCTTATTTTATTCTTATCTTATCTTAAGTGTCATGAATAAGAATCAAATAAATACAAAAATGTATTTTTGATCATATTTTATATTTCTTCTTTCAAATTGCTCTTAACATGTCCACTTCAATATACAAAATTATATACAAAATCTAGTCATAAGGAATTATTACATGATTACCAGTCACCAGTCACTAGAACAACACAGACACTCAAAAATGGAATATTATTTGCAGATAATTCATTCCTTACCAAAAAATATTTTTAGACCAATTAGGTGAAATAGGATGATTTTCTACGGCACACCTGACCATCACTCACGGCACACTAGAGCAGTGTTTTTCAACCACTGTGCCTCGGTACACTAGTGTGTGCCGCGAGTGATGGTCAGGTGTGACGGCTAGCGTAGCTTCAATACCCGTTTGGAAACGGGGGCGCTACAGAGCAGATTTGTTAGGATGAAAACACAGTTTCACCCTCAGATGGAGGGATTCCTACACAGGGGAGCTTTAAAGTGGACTTTAACCCTTTAAAGCCTGATCCAAGAATAAAACAAAACAGAAAATTACTTTTTTTTTTGTTTAAATTCCTTATTTGGCCTTTTAACAAAATATGTAAAAACAAAAAACAAAAATACATTTTTAATATTAAT